CACATTTTTTATGGATTAAAAATTAACTATAGGCTTTCTATTCTGTAAGCAATAAATTTCACTTTCTATGATAATTTCATGAAAGCCTTTAAGATAGTTTTGAAAATGCCAACAAATACGACAAAATTAATATAAACCGTTAAGTTCCTTTATTCCCTTCACTTGTTAGCATCTAAGCCAAACCCCTAGAAAATTTGAGAGTATTTATGAATGTCGGACATACAAATCAGCCATTATACCATAGAATAGTTTTTATTTCCTATTTCTTTTTTAATTCATTCAATTCATTTCTTCATTCATCATTTATTTACTGCCTTTCCAAAAAGCACCCAGGGCAACTTTCTACAACGTTATTAACAGTTCATGTTCTTCTTTGGATGTTTTATTGTAGCTGAGCCTAGCTATTGTCTTGAAATTTTATGTTATCAGAGAGAAACACAACATTGTAAAAAAAATGTCAGTATAAACCACCCTTTTATCCCTTTAATTAATGATAGAATAAATAAATATTTCCATGGGGAAGAACACAAAGCCGGGGATACACAGCACCCACTGTGTACCTGGTACCACAACGCACTTTAAATATTTTTTTTCCTTGCAACTCACAGAACCCCTCAAAGGCCGTGTTTATCTCCACAGGCAAGGACAATGAGGCTCGTGAGCCACAGACACCTCACTATGCTTTTGATTTTTTTAGAGCCATGGCCCTAGTACCCAGCCTGGTACTAGATAGGATTCACATCTGACTCTCTGGTTCCCAGTCTACACCCTTTCTACTTAGAGCAACGCTTTCTCAAAAATTAGTGAAACTTGATGTTTTCACATTAACATGACTCAGGACATTCGATATAGTGCCTTTATTATCTCACATCACCTTCCAAACAATTCAGAGCAGTTGGTGTTATGGGATGGGAAAAGGGGCACACAAGTGGAGTACCTTCATTGACCCAGCAACACAGGATCCGGGCATTGTGTGGGCACCACGGTGCAATGCCTGAGGTCAGTCATCACCACCTGCCTTGTCAGGCCCTCCTGCACTTCTTGATCATGCTGGGCAGCATGAATGAATACAGACCCCGGGATCACACGATACCTGTGCAGACAGCTCCACCACCACAGAGCAGCAGGCTGAGAGGAAGCACTGACCTTTACTAACGCCATCTACAGGGTACATGGCTGCCAACAGAAGTCACGTGGCTTCCACAGAGCAGAAAGTGGTTTATTTCTCTTTTTTCCTAACTATTGGCATAATATCACACATAGAATATACTGCTTGTCAGCTTATATAATTAGGCAGTAATCGAAATTAAAATTTCAGAGAAAGGGAGGCTGAGGTCATAGATATGGATATAATCGTGTATAGAAAATAATTGTTTCATTGATAGTGGCCTCGCTATCATTTTAATTTGTTTAGTAAAGTCATTGATTCTTGTCTCATCAGCTCCTGAGTTAGAGAATTTTAGATGGCAATGTTTGTCCCTGAACTGTTTAAATCTCTCACGTCCTTTTTACTGAACCGGTATAGAAGATCGGGACAGGAGGCCCAGCATTCATTCTGCATTCATTCACCCTAAAGCAAGGGTCACTTAGCAATACCACCTTTTCTTCCTGCTGAAAGCACAGCAAGATCTCTGCTGTGCCACAGGCCAGCTGGGGCCTGCATGTCTGTCGATTCTGTTGTATTTATCACTTCCTCCTTATGCCTCAAGAAAGACCTTCTCACACTTCTCATTATGAAAAAAGCCTTCAGCCTGCAAATGCACACAAATCTACACAGACAGTGGGTAAAATAACAAATAATATTAGCATCAATATAGGTGATGCCTCATCTCAATTCTGATGCAAGCTCATTTAAAAATCATTAGACGCCCACCTTCGAATGGAACCCTGAAATCATAATCGTTTAGAGTCCTGCTCAGCATATGTTCACCTTTGTAATAAATATCTCAAAGGGCATGTTGGAATAATAATATAACAATAATTCCACGTAAAATACTTTGGGCAGATTTTTTTGTTGTATTTCTGGATTTTTTGTTGTTAGTTTTTGTTTATTGGTTTGTATGTTTGCTCTGTTTTTGTTTTCTGTTTTATACAGGATCTTGCATGTAGCCCAGACTGGCCTCAAACCTGTGATCCTCCAGCTTCAGCCTCCTGAGTGCTAAGGTTATAGACATGCATCGCCATGCCCCCTGGTTGGGGTAAATTATCCTTAACATTTTGTTAAATCTATGGTAATGCCCTTTGCTAATTACGTACAGTCATCTAACAAAATCGATCCTTCATTTGTCAAGGCTGTGTCCCAAGACCTTTGCAAAGTGTCAAATTCTAATACTCATATATTTTCAAATTCTCATATATTTTCTCCAGCAAAATACCAGCAAGTATAATTTCACAAGGGTACTGAGTGCCCGTTCATTACCAGACAAGAGCATAACTGCTAGCTCCCCTAGGCTGATTGACTCATGGATCTGCTTCCACACATGTGTATCCACGTGTGTCCACGTTCGCATGTGTACATACATGCACAGATGTGCACAGACATGTATGGAGAAATTCACAGCGAAGTCTCAGAAATGTCTTCTTTCACTAAACACTTGTGATCAATGAATCATAGCTTTCAGAATTCTAAATGCTAAGTATACCCATGTCTGTAGCGCACTTGAAAGCTAGTTTTTGTTCAGCAAAACTTTAACTTTCTGCCAAATCACACTGACCATTTTCTTTGTTACTCCAGAAATAACAACTAGTAGCTGAGGCTGTGTGCACAGGGATGACCTGCCATGGGTTTTTTTTTTTTTTTTCTCAGTTGATTATGTGTGATGAGGAAAGTCAGACCCTTCTACTTGGTAGGGCTTTCTGTTCTGTCCCCAGTGGTTACTTTGTATCTTCTAGAGAATTTCAACAGTTAAGCAACAAATCTATCTACAGCATATGCTATATACCACCTTAAGAAGCAATGTCTATATACTTCTTTCAGTCATCACCACCATGGCCACCCAACATCAATAAATTGTTTCCATGGTTTTTTCTGTTTTTGCAGGTTTTAGAGCCTCTTACAGTGTCTCATTTAGGAAATCAATGGTAGCTCATTCTTGAATTAATAAATGAAATTGTTTTCAGGAAGTTCCATTAAAGTATCTCGTTAATCTGTTTGTTCCCTCTGTCCCCCGTAATATGAAGGAATTGGTATAACTGTTATTCTATTTTTGAAAAGAGACAAATTAATTTGTGAATCAGTGAGGAGCCTGGGTCATGATATGAGGTTTGTTAGAAGGAAGCTGCCTCTTTTTTGTGCCAAAAGGAATTTTGCAATTCCAAATAGTTTCCAGACAGGGCTCATGTGGGCAGGTGAGGAAATGTAGGAGAGAACAGAAATGAAGACTAGGATGACATTGAGGGTAAAAGGAAACGTGTTAAATTCTGTACACTTCTTAAAAATGTGCCCTACACGGAGCTAGTGGGATGTCAGGTGTGTTATCCATTTAGGGCAGATGACCCAAACCAGAGGAGATACAGGTACTAAAGTCCTGAAAATACTATCCAGTGGTGCTTGAGTGCATAGATATGATTTAACTGATGAATTTGATAATTTGCAATGTTTTATAGCTAGGAAAGTTGTATACAGCACATATAAACATATTAGTCTAGAAAGGGAACACCTAGAATGCGATCACAGACAGCCATCGTATAGCTGCTTTCAAATCACATACTCTTTTCAGATGAGCTTATGAAAAAAGAAAAAAAGAATTTACAGTCACAACAAAACATACAAATGGAGCTGTTTCCTTCTTTTCATTAGACTCATTAGACTCATTGTGACAGAGTCTCATCATAAAACCTATCTTAAAATATTTCCACGCAGTTCTTTAAAAAACAAGAATGTGATCAGAATACACACAGGGTGGTTATGGGATTGTTCTTTAAAGACCAAAGTAGGACTATTTACTACAGCCAAAAGGGATCTGGCAGTTTTCTGTGGCCCAGCCCTCCCTGCCTCACAGAGTACCACTGCACAGTCTCCCTAACTCAGCTCTCCACTAAGATTCTTCAGAACTTGGTACAGGGCAGCATCTCACTCACAGAGGAATTACCCAGGAAAGCAAGCAGAACTTGCTGAAGGTCAGGGAGGAAAGGGTGTTTGTAAAAATTGCACACACACACAAACACACACAACACAGACACACACACTGTGTATAGCACCACATCTCTCCAGTGGAGGCTGCCTTTCTGATGATGTGTGACTGCTTAATATTACTCTAATTAGAGTATGGATCCTCCCAAAATACCTAATATTGATAGTAATAAAAACATGAATGTTCTTATTTGTTAAAAACTATAAACAGGAAATCAACTAAAATAAAAGCTCATGAAGGCTTCAGTTTACTATGTCAGTGATCTACGTAAATAAGTAACTTTAGTAACCCAAACAGTTACGGCTAACCTGCAGTGTGATTCTACTGCATACTTTGTTGTTACCCCTCGAAGCTGCCTGTTGGTGCTGGCACAGCGGTGGAACCCAGGCACACACCAGTACTGACTGTTGTGGTTTGGTGAAGGGTGCACATCACAGTCTCATATTTTAGGTTATGGCTTAGAAAATTGGATAGTCCAGTGTATGGAGTATATGATTTCAATTTATATTCTAAATGGTAAGCTCATATTAGGAGATAAATTAAGCAAGCTTAAAATGTTGTGGTTTTAAAGCATTGATTGATTTTATTCTGACTATCTTGATTCAGGTACTGTTAAAAAAATCTAAACTTTTCTTTAAAATCTGTAAATAACTCTGAGCTGGTTATTTTTATTGTATTTCTCACTACTTCCCAAAAAGCTGTCAATTTAGAGTTCTTACTCAGTAAATAGTATATTTCCGGTTAGGCTATATGTTTTTCTATAACCAAACAAAATTAATTTTGCCATAATTATTAGGGACTCTTTTCAGAAAACTATGGTAAGCTTCTACCACATCACTAAAGAATGCCATACCATTTTTGCAATAGACCCCGTCCCAGCAAAGCAACATTGTAGACAATGGACAAGAAGATGTCTCTCCTAGTGGCCAGTGGAACCCTTACCCACTTGGGAGGCGGGATGTACCTCCGGACACCATTACTAAAAAGGTAATCAATTTCAATTGACACAGACCATGAACTTCGTACATCCATTGTAATATGTAGTCCATGCCTTGTGTCTTTAACATCATTTTCTAACTTCGTGGTAACTTCAGGCTAAATATCTTGCCACTTAGGGCTTTTGGTTAACTGTTAGTGCATTGGAAAGAATGCCTGTGGACCCTGCCTGTTCCGAGTTCGTGCTGATTTTGTATAATAGTCCATACCTCTGCAGATTGGCCACTCTTTAATATGCCAAGATGCCCTTGGAACTGCAGGTACAGGTGTGTCACATATACTTACATTTCTCTTGGCTTCAACAGTGCACATATCCAATTTCCATAAAATGATATTTGACTATGAAAAGGTTAATTTACCACTTCGAAAGTGGTGATGGGGCTGGTAAGATGGCTCAGGGGGGTAACGGCACTTGCTGCCAAGCCTGATGACCTGAGTTTGATCCCCAGAACCCAAATAGTGGAAGGAGAGAATCAACTCCCACAAGTTGTCTTTTGACCTCCACACTTGCTCTGTGGCACATGTTGTGCCCACACACGTACACACATGTGCACACACAAATAACTGAATGTAATTTAAAAATGTAAAGTTGTAATAGTTCTTCCAATAAACACTGACTGATCAACAGTATGTACAGTGTGTGCTAAGCCCTTTCTTAGAGCTGGAGAAACAAACATGAACAAAAACCCCAAGAAGCTTTTAATCTAAGGAGTACAGTGAATCGGTCAGTAGATATCTGTCTGACTACACAACAGGTCACCATGGCCAAGTGGAAGGGAAACCCTCACCTGGGAGAAGTATGGGAGTTTTTGTTCCTCCTTATATTTTTAAACTCTTACAAATGAAGAAAAAAGACACATGACCTAAATCTTAAGCTGGTAAAATACAAGGGGCACCAAGAAAGTAAATCAGTAAAGAAACTTAAAAATTCAAGCAAAACTGAGCCTTTTTATCACTCGTTTGCATCTACTGGACGGGCCAAAGTAGAGGTCCAGGACATGCGGGTTGCTTGTGTCACGAACTCTTTATACACCTTGTCAAAATGCAGAGCACAACTAGTGCTTATGAGTGGCCCTGTACAGTTGAGCATGCCCAGATCCTCTCTGCTGCAAGGCTCTAAAATCACTAACTAGAAACCCTCCTGTACTGACATCCAAGGTCATGCAATGCTTACTAGAGAACTGAGCAAATGTAGCTCTCTGTCAGCAAGAAACCAAATAGATTCTGCTGTTTTGCACAAAGGAATATTTCACATAAATGAAAAATGAGTAAATTTGATTATGATAGTGTATATAAATAAGGCTTAGGAACATAACTCAAAAAGAAAAGTTTTCAGGAGATGGTGCGGATCAGGAATACCAGGTTTATAAATCTCAGGCCTAAGACAGGAGAAAGAAAGTTATTTTTGTAAGGACACAAGAAATCTCCTATTTGGAATTCTGCACACCTCTAGAGAAAGTGCTGAATGATGTCAGGGAGGAGGGGGAGTCTGCTATTGCCGTTTGAATCCTAGCTGTTGCTGTTACCCTGTGGTGCTAAAGCCCCAGATTGTCCATCCTGTCCTAACTGCACTTCATATCTGACATATGCGTTATGTTCATAGATTGTTTGTAACCTCAGTGATCTTTCCCTTGATGCCTATGGTGAGCTTTAAACATATATATAGTATCAAAGATGTTTGTTCAAAGTAACTGGAGATACCATACCTTGCAGGCGGGATGTACGCCTTTGTGTAGCACCCAGCACTCGGTGCAGTACAGTGTGATGAGTTCTGTTAGGGTTCCAGACTGTAGTAGTTTCTAGAAAGGGCACCATTTGGGGAGGAGATAAAGGAAACTAAGGACGGGTATAGTGTCCAATAAGCTGGAAACGTAAGCGGAAGCCAGATCGTGCTGGCCTATACCCTGTAGGAAATGGAAAGGGGGACGTTGAAGTGTTTGAAAAGGGAAATGACATCTGAAGTTCATCTACACAGCACTCTGGCAGCTTTTCAGAGGACACACTGCAAAGGAGAAAAACTAGAACTATCGAGCCAGCTGAGAGGCCTCTCTGATTATCCAGGGGAAAGCACACAGAAGCAGTTAGTGGCGAGAAAGACTTGGATGCAACAGAGCCTTGACAGGTAGTCAGAGGTGTCTTGTGAAAGACTGGACATAATGCATAAGGATAGGCCAGTGTTCAAAGTTCACATGCCGGTTTCTAATTCAGTCATTTTAGTGACGATATACCAGTCCCTAAGAGCCCCGAAAGAGTAACATTGCAGAAGACAGTGGAGGAAGGACGCAGAGCCTAGATCTTAATTTGTAGGTTTAAAATATCTTTCCTTTTCCCTTTGGAAAGGTAAATGGATATTGGATTCTATTTATCTCAAGTTCAGTGGAGAAATCCTAGGCAGAGAGATCCATGCTTTGAATCAACATATAGGGAGATGATGCCAACCACAGGACGCCAATATTTAAAGATGTGTGTAGGGGGCAAGACAGAGGAACAGCAACAGAGGATTTTATCTGCATGGATATTGCTGCTGAGGGATGTAGGAAATCCAAGAAAAACATTTTAGAATAGTAAGAAAATGTTTGCTGTCTAACAAGTAGTCTATTATTTGTAAGGGAGCCAGGGATTTGCAAGCACTTTAGATTTCCCTTCCTGTTCTATCACCATGCTGTCTGTGTCAGACTTGAGCTAGTGTCACTCTAACAGTGAGATGACTTCCAATACACACTTCCTCTTTCTTTTTTATATTTATTTTATTATTTTTATTTAATGTGTATGCGTGTATTGCCTGAATGTAGGTAAGTGCACCTGTGTCGTGCAGTGCCTGCAGAGAACAGAAGAGGCTGTTGGATCACCTGGAACTTGAGTTACAGACAGTTGTTAGCTGCCATGTGGGTGCTGGGATTCGAACCCGGGTCTTCTGCAAGAACAGCCAGTGTCCTTAACCGCTGAGCCATCTCTCCAGCCCCAACACTTCCTCTTTCAAATCCTGCAGGAGAGAATAGCTCAGAGCCTGTCTCTTATGAACAGTACCTTCCTCCAGTCACCCAACAAACACCCTCAGGTGCTCTCTGATCTCAAATACTGGAAAGATGGACTTTGCAAACCAGCAGAGTATAGTTCTGTATCTGACTTTGGCTAATTGGAGTACAGCAGATGATGTTCTAACCCAGTGATTACTGAGACAGTGCAAAAGGAAAGGGGCCCTTGGGAATGAACAGGAAAAGTTGTTTAACTTTTTAAATTCTATTTTTTTTAAAAATAATTTATTGAGAATTTCATACTTTCATACAAGGTGTTTTGATCAAATCCACACCCACTCCCTCCCCTCTACCTCCTCTCATATCTCTCCATCACTTTTTTCTGATAACTTTATGTACATTTTCTTCTTCTCCTCCTTCTCCTTCTTTTCTTTTTGAGACAAAGGTCTCCCTGTAGCCCTTTCTGGCCTGGAACTCACTATGTAGACCAGGCTGGCCTTGAACTCACAGAGATCGGCCTGGCTCTGACTCCCAAGTGCTGGGATTAACAGCGTGCACTACCACACCCAACTCTTTTTTTTTTTTTTAATGGGGCCTTTTGCTACTCTAATATTCCCCCCTCTAAAGAGGTAACCCTAAAATCTTTTAAGGATTAGATAAGAGCTCCCAAATACTTTTGACATTTTTGGCCTTTGGAACAGAGTACATATGTTGCTAAGAGGCCCAAGGGCATTGTAAGTTTTAGCCACGAAACTGGCTACTTTTCTTTGGGGTCCTTTTACACTAACTGCCTAGCCAATTCCTACCTCCTATTCTTATCACACCATCCTCTGAAGAGTTATCCAACTTGTGGATAGGGAATTGGAACTCAGACCACTCTGGCTTCTTCCAAGCTGAACAGAGATGCAGGGTGAGGCATTTGTGGTACCCCTTCAGTGGGTCTATCTAAAAGACTCCCAAATTGCATAACTCTTGTCTCTAAGGGGAAAACAAAGTCCTTGAATCCTGAATAGGAGATGTGAAGGAGAAGTAAAGGCAAGAGTAATTAGCACTACAAGTTCTAGACCGGGAACTAGAAAAAAGTCAGAACAGGGCAAATTTCAAATGTTCATACAAGAATCCATTGGAATTTCTTGACGAGAGTTTCCAGATGCATCCCTCTATTGAGTGAGGAAAAATTGTTTTAAAGAGAGGACAGGCAACAGCCAGATGATGCCCCCAAATCAAGCACTGTCATTGTGATAAAGATTCCTCATGGTTTGAAACCTATTCCTCAAAAAGGACTTTTTATTGAAAGGAAGGAGCGGTTACAGTGGGTTCTAGATGGGAACACCGGAGAAACAGTAGGGATAGTCAAGGCATACATAAGCCTAGCTAAAGGGCTGAAGGCAGTAGCCACCAGTAAAGGGGAAGTTAAGATTTTGAACAAGAAGGAAATGTGCCTCATTATGAGAAAATTGGGAGGAAGTATACATTGGTAGGAGCTGAGTTCCCAGCACAGCCCAGGGTGCAGTCATTGCCAGCCAGGAAGGAATCTTGAACTGATGTAATTGCAACAGGAACTGCAAATTCTCATTCATGTACTACCCCTAGTAGAAGTAACGTGTATTTACATTATCCATCACACATCCATTTGCAGGAAGCCCATCCTCAAATCCCACTGTAACCTGCTGAGTCACCCCATCAGTACATGCCACAATATCATTTGTCTGCCACAGTGCTTACACAGAGACCCAGTGTAATCCTATGATTCATTAAACATCTGTGAATTGATGGACCTTTATAAAATCTGAAATAACTGTTCTGGCTATAATGTCATACTTCATGCTGGATATGAAATAATAATGTGTTTTTAAACTTTGCATCATGTCTTTAGTGGACAAGGGCTTTTGATTATCATATAATATTCCTATTTTCCTGAAATCTGAAGTTATAGAGCTTAAAGTAGGTAAGTCTATTTGTTGCCTCACAGAATAGAAAGAAGGAAGAATGCTTTAAATACTCAAATTGTTATTA